TGAATTACGTAGGCAGGTTACGAGGAAGATGGTCACGTGTCCTACAGAGAAGTGTTGACAAAAACGGCCTGATATGTCCAATGGAAGAAACGGTCGGTAAACGGCCAGTTTAGGGACACACAAAGTTACGGGCACACGTGGGAAACGGAACAGTGAGAAGAGATTTAATTTTGTGGCAGCACATTCTCAGAAAGGTCCAATCCTCCTACAAAACTACATGATGTCATAAGCGAGATGAATACAACTAACAATCGCTGAGTGAAAACCCAAAAACTTATATCCTATAATAAATAGGACATAATTCAGCTTAGCAATTTGTGTGTTTAATCTGTTCAATTTAATTATTTGTTAATTTGTGTGTTTAATCTGTTCAATTTAATTATTAGTTAATTATATAAGACAGCATGTTGCACAGATCCCAGATTTTATGCAGTGATAGGTTATTTCACTTGAAGTCCAGCAGTATTATTAAGGAATGCAATGTTTATTAAGGAATGCAATGTTTAACACTTGTGAAAATTTGCACTCGAATGAATTTTGCTATGACCAAAAAAAATTACTGAGACAACAAGTAGGANNNNAATGACCTTTTTTTTATTATTGCTAGTTGCTAGTGAGGTGGGACTAACTCCCTTGTTCTGCGACCACTTGTGACCTATTTTACCAGCCCCAGATAAGAGGTGAGGGTGATTGTGGAGCAATTGGTGGAATGAAGATTGGCAGGGGAAACCGAAGTACTTGGAGAAAACTTTGTCCACAACAAATCCCACTTGACCAGACCCGAGATGGAACCGGACCTGCCTCGGTGGGAAGCCAGCAACTAACCGCTTAAGCTATGGCGCGGCCTTGACAGTGTCCTATAAACTTTTACCTAAATTGTCGGGGGAAGGTAATAGATTTTAAGAAGGGCACGGTCTCAGCATTAACATAAACATTCAATTTCTTCACGTGCACATTTTTGTAATCTTCGTGGTGCAAGAAAATGTTGATGAGAAAGAATGAGAGATTGGAGACGTTTCTTCCATTGACATATACAAAACATTTTGTACCATTAGTACCTTACGAGCCGGGATAGCATAGTCGGCATATCGTCTGGTTATGAGGTATACGATCGATAGGTCGATGTTCGACTCCCGATAGGGTCACGAATTTTCTCTTCTCTACTCTGGGGTCCACACAACTTCCTATCTAATGGGTACCGAGGGCTCTTTCCCCGAGAGTAAATTGGCCAGGGCGTGAAGCTAACCACTCACCTGCAACTAGTGCTGAAGTCAAGAAAATGTGTATCTATACATCCACTCCCCCAGAAGACTCCATGGCCGAGTTCTTAATTAGTTAAGGACAGGGACAACGTTACCTTATTTTTATCATTATTTTCTTTCCTGGTATTTCCCGTCTCACAGGTTCCCGCAATTCCAAAGGTGTTGCTACTGTGGGTTGCAACGTGAAATTGTTCATTGGCCACTGTGGGAGGTAGCGCATTGACGCACATAGTATTCTTACGAGTAAGTTACTTCCTCATAGACGGCGAATTCTAAAAATACAGCCCAGTCCAAAACAAATTTTCAGTTTTATTATAATGGGAATAATTAATTATATCTATTGCCTTTAGGGAATTTTCGAATGGGCGGATGATTTTCTATCTCAATGTTGGTGTTCATGTGTATGAAATTTTTTAGGTCACAGACTAACAATGCAAAGGTAGACATCGCAGAGTTCGTAGAGGTCGTAGAGATCGTAGAGATGTAGAGATACTCAGTAGCTCAGTAGTTTCAGTAGCGTTGAGGTAGAGCCTAACTGTTCTCCGACTTTTGTAACTATCGTTATGTGTGCGCACTCCCATTAAACGCAATGTTTCTCGGCAACCATTATGTAAGCAGTGTCCGTCTTTTAGTGCACTCAATTTTACTTATTGCTTCACAACATGTTTCGGCACTACAGTGCCATCATCAGGTGCTCCAATTACGTAAATCTCAATTACGTTTCTCGGCGATGTGCCCGACTATCGGCCAACTAAAAATTGCATGTGTACGCTAGGTCTTAGGTTGATTAAAATGTGTTTAAACGAAACGTATAGTAAAGTTCGTGTAGGTAAACATTTGTCTGTTGAATTTCCTATCCAGAATGGTCTAAAACAGGGGTCTCCAAACTTTTCGAAACGCGGACCATATTAGGTAATTCAGCACATTCAACGGGCCGGATAAAATGAGAAATTAATAACTCTAGGCATATGAGTTTTATTGAAAGCACAGAATTTCATAAACTAAATACAAAGTACGTGAGAATAAATTATCGTATTGTCGCGTATCGGGCGTATGACGCGACAAATAACTTCACGATGTATTTGATGTAGCGAATTTTATTTCACATTCGCACTTACAATCACCCAAATTACAGATTTACGATTACTGCTATCTGCAGTATCACAATTAGTACACTGAAAAATGCCACAATACAACTGACTAGTTGCTGGCTAACTCGGCGGTAGCTCCAGGACTCGCTGACTGTCTCAGTACAACTCTGCGGTAGCCACACTAGAACTGACTGTGAATAGCCTTCGCTGCTCCGTATGTAGCCTCGATCGGACAGTACGGGAAAACGGCCACGTAATAGGCACCCTTTTTGCCTGGCGCTGTGTTGCTATGTAACGCTAGCGGAAGTAACCGCTGTTACTATCGTAACGTCGCCGCTGTTGACTCGCGTTGCCTAGCGACCGCGATATCCCTCGGTGACGTCACCGCGGAGGGGAGTGGCGGGGCGGGAACTCGCCTATTACCGTAAGAACGCGAGCGTTACGTTACCGCCACGTACCGCTGGGGAGGTAGGGGTCAACATGTCACAATATNATCAAATTTCCTTCCTTGTATTTGTCTTTAATATGATCATTTTCCTGAAGTTCAATAATTTTCATTTGAATTTGACTTGGGACGTCTGCAGCATCACAGTCAAACGGATTTTGAAACAATCTAATTTCCTGAGCACTGGCATCCAAATCAGCAAATCGCTTCTGAAATTGTTCTTTCAAATCTGAAATGACTAAATTTGCAAATGAGGAATGAAATTCAGCTTCACCCTTTTTATGCAACTCTGCACAGTATAGCCTATGAATAAAGTTACAATTTTCCACTTGGCTTTCCAGAAGTATCAACTTTGCTCTGAATGCCTTGATAAGTGCAAATAAATCACAGACTAAGTTATTTTCACCCTGCAACTTTAAATTCATATGGTTCACCAGATTAGCAAAAAATGCTAATTTCCAAAGCCACTCGGTATCTGATAAAAGTGGTTCGTGATGGTTTTCCTCAGTAAGAAATATATCAATTTCATTCCTGAGCTGAAAGAAGCACGAAAGAACCTTTCCACAGCTAAGCCATCGAACTGCAGTATAATATGTCAGGTCAATAAGCTTGGAATCACATTCCTCAAGAAAAGACTGGCGAAGGTTAAGTGCATGACAGTTCAATTGGTGCATTTCTGCACAATTCTTTTGCCGGATGAAATCACATTGCGGGCCGTAGTTTGGAGACCCTTGGTCTAAAACAATGAGGTGCTTTATCACCACTCCTTTTTAATTTTGCTTTAGAATATGCCATTAGGAAGGTCCAGGGAAACCAGGTGGGACTGAAATTAAATGGGACACATCAGCAGTGGCCCTATGCTGATGATTTGAATCTACTGGGTGATAATATAGATACCATAAAGAAAAACACACAAACTTTAATTGATGCACGTAAAGAGGTTGGTCTTGAAGTAAACACATAAAAAACTAAGTATATGTTGCTGTCTCGTCACCAAAATGCAGGACAAAATCATGACATAGAGATAGGAAACAGATGTTTTGAAAATGTGGCACAGTTCAGATATTTGGGAACGATAACAGATTGAAACCTGATTCAGGAGGAAATTAAGAGGAGATTGAACTTGGGTAATGCTTGCTACCATTCAGTCCAGAACCTTTTGTCTTCTCGTCTGCTGTCCAAAAACATAAAAATTAGAATATACAAAACCATAATTTCGCTGTGGTTCTGTATGGGTATGAAATTTGGTCTCTGACATTAAGGGAGGAACATGGAATGAGGGTGTCTGAGAACAGGGTGTTGAGAATATTTGGACCGAAGAGGGATGAAGTGACAGAAGGTTGGAGAAAACTGCGTAATGAGGAGCTTCATAATTTGTACTCTTCTCCAAGTATAATTAGAATGATCAAGTCAAGGAGGATGAGGTGGGCAGGGCATGTAGCACGAATTGGGGAGACGAATGCGTATAGGATATTGGTGGGAAAGCCAGAAGGAAAGAGACCACTGGGAAGACCAAGGCGAAGGTGGGTGGACAATATTAAAACGTTTCTTGGAGAGATAAGATGGGATGGTATGGATTGGATTGATCTGGGTCAAGAAGGGACCAGTCGAGGGCTCTTGTAAACACGGTAATGAACCTTCGGGTTCCATAAAATGCTGGGAAATGTTTGAGCAGCGGCGGCGGTGGCGGTGGCAGCGGCGGCGGTGGTGGTAGAACAGCAGCAGAAAGATCAGCTGCACTGTGAGAATGAGCTCAGAGTTGTTGATATAAGAAATTCAGAGATTCTGAATGGAAAGATATGTCAAACAATAGGGGACAGGACAAACACTGTTGGATTTGGGTTGCAGAGTGCAGCAAAGGTCACAGACATCATATAAGAAATTCACATAACTATTTTTAATAATTAATTTTGGGAGATACAATAACTGAGATCAACAATTATGCAGAAGGAAAACTGCACAATTGGAAACCAGTGACAGTGGATGAAATTTATATTATGATTGGAGTGTATGATAAATGGAAACAGCCTCCTGTTTTGAGTGCTTCGAGGGCTATAACACAAGACAAATTATCATGGTAATGTTAAATCCAATCACTAATAAAAGTAAAATACATTTTGTTCAGAAACTTCACTCATTACAATACATGGCTGTTATAAACGACACATCTGATTAGGAATTACTGTATTTTCAGATTGGTTACAGACACAAACATGAAACAAGTTGAAAGCATCATGGAAACCTGTAGAGTTTATCTAGAGATATTCAATATCACGACAACACAATATTCAAATTCTTCCCATGTACAGCATAACTGTAACCCAATGACACTGGCCTACAAAATTTCCTCTCAAAGCTCCTGAAAGGACCATGGCATCAGACGTTGGTACACCTGGTCTTCCACATACACCCATAGGTAGAAGTAGCATGAAGTATAAGGTCTGGGGATCCAAGGAATGTGTCCTGCTAGTCCTGTCATAAGCAGCAATGTGCCTTTTGCACTTGAGATTTCGTTTTCTTTAGGTAGTGATCACAGCATCATTTGTGGCTCATATGTTATAAGCAATATTAACAACAATGTAATGAGTTTCCTTGTTGTTTTCAAGTTCTTTACGATTGCACCTGTAACCATTTCAAAAACACATTATGATTTCTTATCATCCAAATAATTTATAATAGACCTGTGTTTCTTACTAGTGTACTTCACGTTCATAACAATCAAAATTTATTTTAGTTCTTCAAATTAACACAAACACAATTTTATCACCTTTTCTCTGCAAACCATTTTTCTCCATCATGAGGCTTTTTTCCATGTTTTGTTTTTCATTCTCACTGCCTATCTTTCAAGTCCCTACCCTTCATCTTTCCATAATTATTTTCTTGTCTTCCCATGTCACATGTTTTCCAGTTGGTATCCACATAACTGACTTGATCATTTATAGACTTCTGGTCCTTATGTATTGCTATTTCTTTCTAGTAAAAGCACAACAGATCACTGTAGGTCGCTGTGCAAGGGCCAAGAAGGCCCACCCTTTATACATACATTCATTCATTCTTTCTAGTAATATTATTTCACATTATTTATTACTTTCAAATATTAAAAAAACTGAACACCATTACCTGATATAAGACAGTCACAAAATGTCTATTTCATGTCTATACAATGAATACTGTTTTGTTTCTGACATCCAGATGAACTAGACAAAGAAATTTACTACCTCTATATGGGTTAAGTAAACAAAACGTTTAGCATCAATATGCATCTTCATGCATGTGTGTCTTTCTATGAGAATTTAAACTTATTAGCTGATTCCAACCAACAAAGCTAGTGTTTATGATGATCATTCTGTAAATAAGAAACATGAATCTGTCTTTATAAACACCAATAAACACAATACACTTTGAAGCAACCATAATCCAGGTGTGTAAAACAGTTCAACAAATTACACGTCAACAATAACATTATTTATTCACATAATCCTCGTAACTTTCTTTGAGACCAGTCTTGTTCTAACAATGATATTTCATCCATTTTTGTGAATAAGATTCAAATATCAAGAGATGTGAAGTCTTCCAATCTTCTGCAAGTACTTACACAAGTAAATGGCCATAATTTATAATCCTCTAATCCAGCAATTCTTAATTGAGGTCATCAACAGCAGCAGCTCCAGCAAAATCACTATGTCAGCTGTCACAACAGACTGACATGTCCTATTCACTATGTAAAAGTGACAAAGAAAGGAAAGGTTAACCTATATCATGTTACTGTTGACCCAGAACTCATACCTCCTGGCACAAAGAAAAGCGTGGCCTACTGCCAATAGTTTCAAACATGTTTTTCAAAACCCCAAATCCTTGGATATGATGCCATTTTCTGATGAAGCTGAACTTCTCCTGTTAGATCAACTTAGAGAATATGTGTGTGGGCTGCTGCACATCCTGCCATTCATGGGGAGTCAGTCCTTCCATCCATGGAAAAAGAAAGCGTGGTATGCTCTGTCGCATACCCACCCATACAAGTGGCTCATTTTCTTCCACACAACAGTCAAAGCTGATATCTACTTCAACAGTTTTCAAGAATCCGTAAGTCATGTGGATGACCAGGAACTGCCATTTGGTTATTTTCAACAAGATGGGGCAACATAGCACACACCTGAGCGGCCGTTAAAAGAAATTGAGGGTTTCTTTGGGAATAGGATTATATTGAAACAACTCTGGCTGCACAAATCTCCAGGCATGATTGTGCTGGATTCATTCCATGGTGTCTGCTGAAGGGAATGAGGTTCTCTCAAAAACAAACACACCATTATTAATGAAATATTACTAACAAAAAGTGATGCAATTCTTCCTGCAACATATTCAGACATGGAGTGTTGTGCTAACATGTCTTTCCAAAAGGAGGGAAACCAATTTCAGTATCTTCTGCAACCCAATTATCTCACATTTAAAAAGTTAGGTAATTTACAAGTTACTTTATCATCCATAAATTACTGCATTATTTATAATTACTAACTTTGAGACATCCTCTGAGTGAATCATCCTGTACTCTCATGAATAACACAATGAAGTATGGAAAAAAATTAGATTTTAGATGTTTTCAAGTCGTCTTCCAATCTTGGAAATTACTGCGTACAGGACATGATTTTCCTCTTTAAAACAATTGTAAACATTGCAATGTGCCTCATACACCATGAAAAAGTGATGAAAATGATGTTAATATTAGAATCACAGACTTAACAAGGGGCACTTTTTTGGGAGTGACTCCTGTATTACAATTTATGTTCTTTCCACTTCATGTTGGCCTTAAAATTGCATTGCTCTTCCACACTTTTTTTAATTGGTTCATTGTCTAAACCTACCAGAATCTTTGACATGCACCTCTGCTGTTCTGGCTGGAAACTCATTTTTTATGTCTGAGGTATCTTTAATGTTAATTATTCAGTAGAAGAAATTTTACAAATTTCCTTCCTAAACCATTACACATCTTATACACTGTAAACTGCTTTTTCTTCACCCCAAATAAACTCAGCACCTAAACATCTCTATGAATTCAATAACTGAAGTTACACTTGCTACAAATTAATATTTTTTTTTTTTATAAACTGCTACACCTGACATAAGTTGCAATCCCCATACCTTGTAATTCTCAAATTTGCCCATCAGTTATTTTCACACATAACAAAAATAAAACTAAGATTAAACGACATTTAAGGTCCTATCAAATTTCGTTTCAATCTTAGGATATATCAGTATCCTATTTTGTGTATCCCAAATAAACTCAGCTTCTAAATGTTACTATGCATCCTAGCCATATCAGAACTTCTCCTACAACTGAATACAATGAGTACAATCTCTCTCTCTCTCTCTCACACACACACACACATATATATATATACAGAACCACAGTAATTCTTTTGTTCATGAATGAAGCCAGTGAAAATTTTTGCTTGTGGATCCTGCCTACATTTCTCCAGAAGCACCACATGTATGTAATCAGATCACAATATTAACATCATAAATATTCTGTAAAACTATATTATTCACTAATATAGCACATACTTAGGAATCTGCTAGTATGATGAAGCGAAACAGTAATTTTGATGCATGTCCTGTATGTTTCCTGTCCCAGAGTTATATCAGACTGAATAAACACACCATCCACAGTCAACACAAGGCTGGATACCAATAATTCTGGTTACTGCTTGTCCAAATGTGGAAAAGACATGTACATGACTGATAACATGAAACATGAATTTGATTATGAGAAACACATAATGCAGCTTCATAGCTCATCGTGTGGGATATGTTTTATAACAAATTCATACAGATCCTCCAGGCTACGAGATCCGTTGTATTCAGAGACTTTCTCTCCATCTCTGTACAGGAACAGTGTAGGAAAACCATCCACCTGGAAATAACAAGTAATATGTGTTACCAGCATTGGCCACCAACCACATAGTTGGAATACATAAGGGAGCAGAAGGGAGGGCAAAAAAAAAAACAAACAAACAAAACAAGTACAGGCACAGCATGTCACTTCATTCTGTAGTCTGTGACCGATGCATAAATTTAAGGTACATATAATGCTGGAATAACACAAATATGTCCTAAGTACCAAAATAAAAAAATGAGAGAAACCTTTTGCAACTAGAGTAGGCATATGCAACCTACAGCCGCTGAATCACACTGTGACATAATGCCTGAATGTCAGAAGTGTGCAGTCAGAGAAGCACTGCAGAGATGTCCACTGCTAGACAATGACTCGGTAAACACCGTCCTGCTTAAGCACATGACAACAGGGTGTCCAGTGCTAGGCAATAGATAGGTAAACATGCCTGGTAAACAACAGAGGATATCCATTGCTGGGAAATGGATGTGTTTTCTGGGCGGTCCATGCCAAAGTGTTATAAAGGACACCAAAGGTCGTTTGCAGTCAGTTGAGTTTCGAGTGCCAGCTGGCCAGGACATGAGCTTGGAAGCAAGAGTTGAACTGAGGCATCATAATTATTGAGTGCAGGTTAGTTGAGACTATAAGGTCAGTGAAGAGAAGATTTAACGTGTGACTTAAGACTGTGTGTGCTGTAGTACAGTGATATTTGATGTGTGACTGACAATAGTTCTTGTGTTAAAATCTGTTGCCAGGAAATGGCCAGTGATGTAAAGGAATAGCCATCATTGAGAGCTGTTACAAAAACTAGTGACAGTGGACTGAGAAGATCTAGTGTGGAGTGATTTGCACTGTGAAAACAAGTAACAGTGTTTTACTGGTTTGTAGTTTCTAATAATAAGTGGTCAATAAATCTATTAACCAATCCAGAACTCATCTATAGTCACTAATACCCACACTGTTGTTTCAATAGGCATGTCGTACGTTTAATTTTAAACAGTTCAGACTCAAACCAGGTGATACACATAGACCATACTGCTACAGGTGATCTCCCAGGAAAACTTCACTGGATTATGAAGCCTGTGTGGCAAAGCAGGTAGGTTTCAGAGTGCACAGTAGCTCAAAGAATTGCAAATGCAGATGCAAATCATGAATTCCTTGTTCTATATTACCTCTTGCTGATTGCAGAGGTCTTTGCTAGAATCCAGGGTGCAATCCACTTTTGCAATTTTTACATATGGATTACCAACAAACTTAATGGCCAGTTCTTCCCAGGTGGGCGCTAATCTCTTACAGTGGCCACACCTGAAACAAAAATGAAGCATTTACAAATATGATGGGTTATATTTAACCATTCAGCGTGGTTTGACGTGTATGTTTCGTCAGGTATTTAAATCGTCTGGGGGGGTTCGACGTGTATGTTTCGTCCAGCTGCACACCTATGTTATAACGCCCATAATAATTGATGGTTTTGCTGTAGATTGTTAGATTTTTCACTGGCCTGTTGTCACACGAACGGTTTATAATGAGACACGAGTTTAGCTGCGCTAAGTCATTACATATGCCTGTCTTGCAGCAAAGTTCCTGTGGCACTTGCGAGCGGTTTCTTCGTTCTACTGTTATGAATGGCGTGTTTTCTTTGCTATGAAGTTATAAACAGCAGAGACGTGATATGTGCTGTGTTTATAATATCATATTGCCCTGAGCTGGCCACACTAACACACTCAATTGGAATTCTTAGAAGAGGGATGTCCAAAAATGTATTCTTGC